TTTTTAAATAAAAGTAAATCATCATGAAATAAATAAATATTATTTTTCGAGAAAATTCATTTCGAGGAAAATTCTAAAAATGTTATCAATTAGCTTTCTCACTTCGAGTATTTAATCACAAAGGGATTATCGTGGCTATTCGATATTAATTAAATATAAAACGAGGTTCCGTGAAAGAAAATCCATTTTCAATTCAAATTAAGAGTAACTTTAACGCCGTATTTATTTCAAAAGTTTAACAGCTAAGAAGAAATCCGCCGCTCGCTTAATAATCTAGGCTATTGTGACGCGTGTGTTTCGTTAAACTAAAGCTCTTGAAGAACCCACTTCTACATCTGTCATCAACAGGGATACGGGGCTATCCTCTGGAGGAAGCCGAGAGCTCGGGGTCTTTGAAAATCTTCCTTCGTATACGGAATCAGTCTGACTCCGGATTAGCCCGTGAGTATTAGCATGAACTTGACTAGCGAGGCTCGGGCGTAAAAGGCCATGAATGATGCGCATAATGTGTTAGACGTGAACAATGGGCAGCAGGCGTGTCGTCGGTACATATACACAACGTCGCCGATCCTCGTCACATCCACGTTGCACCACCTATATCCTCCTCCTCCCTATACTGCCCTCCCTCCCCCCTCCCCTCTCCCCCCCCCGGTCGATCCTCTCCTCTCTCGCTGTTCCACCTTCCCGCGACAGCTCGTCCATCCGCGCGTCGCTATCCTCTTCCTCCTTCCGCGCGTATGTATGTATTTTCTCTTCTTGTGTGTGTGTGTATTTTTTTTTTTTATTTTGAAAGCGGGATATACGTGGTCGGAACAGGAAACGCCATGGGAGGGGGAGACGGAATGAGCAATCGGTATTCCGTGGCTGTGTCACACACAGCGGGGCCGCAATATTGTGGAGAACGCGCGCGCTATAACGAGATGTACTATATAGCTGCGGCTACACAGTTGCGCCGGCAGCAGGAACACGTTCAATCACGGGAATGCGCTTCGAATTTGCTCGCCTCTCTTTCTCCTTGCCCTACGTCGTGCAAATCGACCGCGCGTCTCGCACGTACGCGCACGGATTGTCATCCTTTCTTATACCAGGCGGAAAAACACCCGCGGACACGCCATTCGCGAAGGTTTTCGCGTGCGGATCGCCTCGATCAGATTGTCAGACTTATATGTACGGCCGACGACACCTTTTAAATCGATCCTTTTGATTAATTAATTTTTTCAGCACTTGTTAACACGGGAGTGGTAGACTTGAAGCTGACGGATCATTTTCGAAATTTTACAAATTAATCAGAGATCATGAAGCTGTAGAGTTAGTGAAATATAATTCTTTACGCAAAGTCGTATTAAGAATTAAAATATTCGCGCGAGGTAAGAATATTTTCTATCTATTTTCGAAAACGGAGATCTAAAAACAATTAATGTCCAGTTTTATTTTAGTTTAATTTAATATATGGGGGAAAAATGCAATATTTAGAATATTTTCTATCTACTCCTAAAAATAGAGGTATAAATAATTATATATAGTTCTAATTAATGTATGATGTATTTTGATTTAATGCAATACGTCGGCAAAGATGACTTATATTAGATCACATTCGTTCTTTTAAAGCAATATCGTTCATTGTAAGCTGTTCAATACAAACGCTACTACGACGTGAAAAAATGTCACCGTTCCAACCGGACGCGCATAAACATTAACGCAGTTGCCGGGCACGGACGATATCGATTACGAAGGAGCGAATCGATATCGGACTTGGATATGAATAACGGATATGAAATTACGAAGTACGAGGCTGTACGTACCGTATTTATCGCTAAAAGAAATTGTTTGCTTGATAAATTTAATAGAGCACCGCAAATTTTGTAGACTCCTGTTTTCATGGTTTTTCTTTTTTTTTTTTTTCGCCATTAAGCATTCTGGCAACGTTAAACAAGCGATAAGCTCTCGTCGAAAGTATCACACAAAATATTTTCCGGTATCGATTGCACGGGTTGAAAAAAAGGACTTCGGAAAAAGCGCGAGGATTGCATTTGGGTCGTTGCAATGTATACTAATGCAAAAAGCAGCTTCCGCAAATGGAATTCTGTACGCGTGCCAAAAAATGCGTCAGCCGCAATAACTACGGGCTTTTAGGACGTGTCTCGCATGAGATGCATCTTGCTTTAAAGCGTGTGCAGGGAAACTGGGGCACTCGGGAGAGGAGCGGGGGAGGGTTCCCCGATCGCGATCTCATCCATCTAAAGAAGAGCGATGGTAGACTCTTCTCATAGGATTGCAGAGTAGCTTACGAGACGCGGTAGACACAGTTCACGAGTTCATTTTCGACCATTCACCGGGGCGGCCTCCTCTCGTTAAAAGTATACCTCGTATCAATAGGGCACATATTCATTCGTACCCGAGCGACACGATGCATCTACTGGGTAAGAAGCTCATGAATAAATTGACGGTGTTTCGCACGTTTAAAATGGGTCCGTCGACGTGTTTCATTATTACATTGTTAAACTTTCCTCATACCGTTAATAATCCGTGGTGTTAATTATTGTCTACCTTTCTGCCGCCGCATCATCCGCCCCGACGCGTACTGTGTCGTAAAGTATTAACTGTCTGAGCCGAGGACAAACCTCGACGAACGGTCGACGCGCTCAGTTTATTAAGTTAGAAAATTTAAAGCGTACAATGCAGGCGGTTTGAGAGAGCGCGAAACAACGGAAACCGGTCGTGTGCGGCGAAATTTGCGAAAGATTACATTTCGAGAGAGCCCGCATCCGCGAGGAAAGCATGAAGGAGAAGAAGAAGAAGAACAAGTGAAAGAAGGAGAGCGAGAAGATGAATAAGAAGACGAACTCTTATCGCCTTTAGCAAAACGACTCCTGAAGCATTGAGCGCGAGATAATACGCTCTCTTCTCACACACAAAGAGAATGCATTAATCGTGGAAATGAAAAAAAAGAAGTCGGTACGATAGAACAGAATTTCTTCGTTCGTTGTAAAATTAGAGAAGCTTCTATATGAGTATATATAGGAGTACCGCGAGAGTACCAGCTACTCGTGCCAAGCCGTCGCGCACTTAAAGAAGTCTCTCTCCTCTCCGCGCGAGTCCTTATGCCGTGTATCCCTTTCGTGTCACGTTAGAATTATATGCACGAAGGAGAGAAGAGAGAAAGAGAGGAGGAGAGAAAGTGAGTGGCCGCGGAGGGAAAGAGGAAGCGCGCGAAATTCAGCGGAGAAAAGAGGAGAGAAAGAGGGATCAGCCGGGCAGCTCCGTCGAGGAGCTGCATACCGAGGAGCTGGAAAACGCATTGTTTAGGCTGCACTCACACCGGCTCAAGGTGGGTGTGTCGCGAGCGTGAAATACCGGCGAAACGTGACTCTCCGTCGAGTGGTGAGCCTGGCAGCCTGCACTTCGAAGTGCTCGAGTCGCGCCGCAGATTCTAGCGGACCATCTCCGCATCTGCGGGAGAGAGAGAGAGAGAGAGAGGTATATTTGATCTACCGACCGACCGGAGATGCGACTCTCTCCGCGGAATCGATTCCACTATGATCCCACTCTTCTAAGGCGCATTTCAGATTAGCCCACTTGTCCGTACTCGATCGCGGATCGGATAATCGCTCCCATTTTTACATCGAGTTAAACGTACTTCTCCGCAATATACCTCGGAATTGAATGTTATTACGAGCGCTGAACGCGACGTGTAAAATGAATTTGCTTCAAAAATCCTCCTCTAATGTAGGAATGTAGGACACTAATTTCATTCCAAAGAGTGAATTTAAAATTATTATTATAAAATTGAAGCCAGAGTGATTTCGAGAAATTTTTTATAGTTGTAATAGAGTTGCGTTTAAAAAAATTCAAACGTGTATGGTAAGTAACGTGAGATTTTAACGTATATATATATTGTATTCGACATAATAATTTTGTGTAACGGTGTTTAACATCGTCGCTATGCTAATGCGACAACTGACAAGAACAGGCAGCATTAGATGCAGCATCGAGAAATATCGCATTGCAAAATAAAAACGATCCGGTGCTAAAACTGTGTCACATCCTTTTTTTTCCTCGCGTTATTCTCAACTCGTAACTTTTCTGAGACTCATAACCGGTTTTAATTAAGGGATACAATAAAAAAATGAGTTCTAGACATCCCACTATCCTACTTTGAGTTATCTTGTTCTATCTACACATATATCTTGTCGGTCTAGTTCTTATTCTTTTTAGTGTTATCAAATGAAATTGCACCTGGCTTTTTCTTTCCCGCAAATGTTTATTGCTATCGTTTATAAAAATGTGTCTGTGGATGTATATAAATGTACGAACATTAAGAGTAGTGTGTGTCTACGAGTATGTGAATCTACGAGCTTGCCAAATCCAAGTATGTGTGCGGATCTCAGTCATCCCTCTGAGAATTTTAAAAGATCGCTCTAAGTACGTTGATGGCGACATCCAACGGACATCGGCTGAATTTATTCTTCGCTATCGCGGTAAAGCAGAGAACGCGGGGATCCACGAGTGATTCAATAATAGATCCAAGTGACTCACATTTTGAACCACTCTCTTCATTAGACAATCATCTTTCAAAGAGAAATATATACTTTAGAGTAGAATAACGTTGAAATCACCAAGCTATCGATTAGAAAAGCGATTACTCGAGGTAACTATCAAGAAGTACGACTCGCCCGCACTAAATCATATCTCGATCAATCTATTGAATCGTGATCAATTACGCGGTCGAATAAGTAACGATAATATTAACGAGCGGTTTCGAGAACGGTCGGTAAAAACTTTTATACCAGGCTATAAAAACGAACGGGATGACCATCGTTTAGTGAGTTAAGCGACGGATAACGCCGCATACAAATGCTACAGGACGACTACCCGATAGATAGAACGTAAAGGACGATACCATAGTTGTATGGTAACGGCGAGAAGTCGATCTGGCGACCCGGAGGACACGGGGGCATAAAAGTTCGCCCCCGATCGCGCTTACAGTCCAATGTACTTACCTGCAAATTGGTTCGTCTCGCTCGTCCGGTGGATTCAGGAAATTGCCGTCGTTCACCGCCGAAGACGTCGATCCCCGCGGCGACCTCGGGCCGCCCTCCGGTTCGCCAATCAACACTTCCGTCCTACCATTTTGGAAAGGGCTGCTCGAGCGTCGTTCCCCGATTCTTCCGCTCTGTACCGGTTGCTGTCGGGCAAACGGGCTCAGTTTATGTCTTCGTGAATTGACACACACGGAGCATCCGTACAGTTTATCGCATCTTTTATCTACAGGCCACTTCGATCGGATTTCTCCCTAAGCTTGCTCGGACGTTTAGTTATCTTTAGATATATGATATATCTTTGCAGCTAATAAAAATTTTGCTATACCCTGAAATTTAAATTCATGCTGTCGCAACATAAATTTTAATTCTTCTGTCAATAATAGAGATTTTCGAGAAACACGCCAATTTTTTATTGTTCTAGGTTATATAAAAATTTGATAAAATTTTGAAAAAATTTAATTACCTCGAGAAAAACAAGAAAGTCAAAATAATGTCAATTCGATATCATATTTACTAAACTTATTTTTTTTATGATTCAGTCAATATAACATTATTTTGACTTTCTTGTTTTCCTTGGAACTTATTGTTGACAATGTAATCAACTTTTTACTATCATTCGGATAAAATTCAAATTGTAATTTACTTATTTTTTTATACATTTAAATTTATCTAAAATACGCAATCATAAAATATCGATGGCATCTTTAAAGAGACTTCAAATGCAGATGAAGGATTAATTTGAAGCAAAACAGCAATGCGCGATCTGATAATGTCCGATTGATCTATGTATAATCGGTTGATAGAATACATGAATCTCCATAACTGATTATCGATATGTTAAAACGTATTTAAATTGTTTAGCAAATATACTTGTAATTCTCATTTAGCATAAACGTATGAGAAAATATTTGTAAAGAAAAGTAACGTGATTGTTGCCGGCTGGTTAATTCAGAGAAACGATTTATGGAACAATAAATAACAGTAGCCTCTCGTGAAGAATCCCACTTAATGTGCCTAATGTTGGCAATTAAGCGTGATAAACTACCGATGGCGATTTACTATTCCGGAAACTGTATAATAATTACTTAAGGAATTCAACGGATGTTGCTTTATGCAAGCGACGAGCGATTAGTGTCGACATAACGTGTAATGTGTTGGGAAAAAATATAAGAGAAAACTCTACAACTGTAATATAATTATAAATACACAAATCTGTTGATTATTATATAGTAATGTACATATTATGTGTATACTTTCCCGATTGTTTCAGTTTCAAAATTCATTGTGAAAATTTAATCATGTTATGTTTAATCATTTCATTTTAATGATGTAGATATATTTAAAAATTAACATCCTTTAATTAATCTCTTTAATAATCTTCCTCTAATTAAAGATTGAATTTGTTTACATGTATAATACGGTCTTTTAAAGAATAAATTACCCAAATACTGTTTTCCACCTCCTGTATTTCTATACTTCTAAAGTAAACTGTTAGTTTACGTTACCAAGAGGTTCGCCTCTTCGCTGTGCTGCTTTTCCAAAGCGTCCTTCCGCTCCTGCGAGGTGTTTTCCACTCGGATGTCCGCCTCTTTTCCTAATCCCTTGGGAATCGTACCGTTGCTAAGTTTGGAGGAGAAAGAATTCGTCTCCAATTCCCTGAAACAATTAAGGCAAGGATGGATTAATTAGTCTGTGACAAAATCAAATTAATCAACCACTCGCCGAATTATCTATTTTATATAAGTTATACTTATATAAAATAGATAATTCTCCGACTTTCCCTATTGTACAAAACAAAAATAGGGCGCGCGAACATATCGGCATTGTGAAAGGATATCAATCACGACAATCGCAATTTGTCACATCCGGTCTACCACGATGCTTCCTATATAGGCGTCGCATATATTTTCTCGCTTACTACACAGACGTTGGTTTATTATGCTTTGACAGGAACATCCCAGAGGATATTAAGTCTTCGGAAATTAATTACAAGTATTGCGCCTGTGGAGCGACATCGTTCTACTGCATCTACGACACAAATTGTTTTTAATCGATCCCGAAGCACCTGTGACCCCGAGAATTCTGACATTAAGTGTAAAAAGAGAGAGCATTTTTTTTATGAAAAGTCCCACTGAGTTTTATCCTCATTATTAAGGAATAACGAGAGAGAAAAAAAGAAAGAGAGCTCTCTCCTCTCTCTCTCTCTCTCTCTCTCTCTCTCTCTCTCTTGTCTATAAAAAAGTTTAGTAACGATATAAAAAGAAGAAAGATGACTTACTTGTCCGCCAAAGTAACCGTAATTTGGCCATTCGATACGTCTTTTGAAGTGGAGTCTTCGCTCGTGGACGCTACCGAATTTATTGTCTGGAACAATAACGAAAAGTGATCCGTAATATATATATATATTTACGTGATTCTCGCTAAATTTTATTCTCGATGAAATTGATCTAGAAATTAACTAACATTGCAATAACACCTTTATATCCAGTAAAATACCTCACATCACACGCTGCATGCAAAAAGGCCACGACGAACGATAAATTTTAGCGTAATTGCAAGTTTTTTATTTGGAGTTGCAATGATTGAAAATTTTATCGTATAGAGAGATGTCACTATCACACTATGGTAGTATGATGTAGAATTCAATTTAGTTTTACAAAAAAAAAAAATAGCTAATCGTACAGTTTTACTTTATTTTTGTCGCACGTGCTTCCGCATATTTCTGAGCAAAATACGATCCCCGTGTTTATCTTTGTCTCCAACGCGTGACGTGTAAATTTGCAACTCGCTTGTTGTTGCTTTACATTAATACGAAAGAACTTAATTCTCTGATAAACTAATTTGTCACGTATAAAATGTAATAAAAATAATTTCGTCAACATATCGTACAACATTATCGAATAAAATCCGAAATCAATCACTAATGCTTACAGAGGAAGTGCCCAAAGTGATAATTGCGAATTGTTACAAAATATGTATCGTTGAAAAGGTCTCGCCGAGTAGAGCTCAACTGTGCAATATTTCGCTTGAATAGTGCCTCTAGAGGGCGTTATGTGCAATAGAAGTTATACAAAGTCTACTTAATGATAATAAGAATTTGACTTTGGATCGAATCTCTAGGGTTTTACGTAGAGTTTAAAGGGTTAGAAGATAGAAACTTTGCTTTTGAAGAACCGATTTGCCAGATTTGTAATCAAAATGCTACATGTATCAAATGTTCATATGATTTCTGCAAGATCTCTTTGTTATGATTGTTTTTTCGAACGTTATCATTACCATTAGTCTCTTTGCTTTTCCTTTTCTTCTCTTCGCTCTTATTTTGATTTCTAGAAATAAAACGAAAACCGCGATTTATGTTTTATTAACCAGTTCATTGAAATTGTTTTCCACATATATTTTGTATCAATTCACAATTATCACTTTGGGCACTTCTCTTGTTAACGACAAATGTATAGCTAACAACATGATATCTCTCATCCTGAAAAATATCAACAATTTTTTCTCTCTTCAAAATATTCTCCCTTTAAATATATGACGATAGCACACAGTGTAAATTTTCGTTTCGCTGGAAATATCATTTAAAATAAAATAATTTGAAAAAATAATATATAATAAATGTTCTAAATTAAATATAATATATTCTTTATATCAACTAAAATTTCGTTTTCTATTTATTGCAATAAAATAATTATAATTTTAAAGTATTACTATATATATGTCGTCTACATAGAAATTATGTTTAGACGTCCGACATTGCAATTTAGAAAAAAATCTCATCAACTTGAAATGTTTTAAGCTTCCTGTTCAGTATATCTTAATACATTCCAACATCAGCGTTGTAGAAAAATTGACGTGACAAAATAGCCAGACAATTTCCTAAATGGCACCACCATCGTCGACAGAACCGGAGGTCCCTTAGCACATCTTCCACTTATTTGAATTACGCATTGATATAAAATAGAGAGAGAGAGGGGAGTAATACGCCGCACTGTTGATAGCAATAAGTGGCTAATCGTGTGCTGGGAATGATACGAACCGTAATATCAAGAAAACTCGTTAACGGTTGTGTTACGACATTCTCGTACCGTTTCCGTTTCGAGATGTGTTTCGCGCGATATGCTGGAACTCGATGCGTGCCTGCTTACGCGAGATTTTAAACCCGCATGCCGTATCGCGATCACGCGAAACGATCCCGCATGCGACCTTAAAATATCTCGGTCGGAACGTGGTTAATAATAAACAATGCGCGAAACTTTTCTCAGACGAATCGATTTCCATTGTGATCGTTAATTCGATAAGTATTCACCGATCAGAGAGATAAAAAAAAATTTTTATAATTATATATAATTGTAAAAACATAACATTATGATATAATCTCACAATAGTTATTTCTATGAGCTATTTCATTCCCATAAACAACGTTAATTGAACTTTCACTAATGTAATAGTTTTCGATCGAAGAGCGGGTTTAAATGCAAGAGTGAGTAAAGCCAATTTTCGCCAACTCATATTCGACTGAAAATGTATTTGGATGTGAATTATAACTTGAGGCAGAATTATGGTATTATTAATCGCTCTTAAAGAGATTCTAGTCAGTTTCAATAAAAGTGGCATTAGTTTCTGTTTTAGAATTAAAAAAAAATCTGCCATGCAGAAGCGATAGAGAGAGTTACCTTTAACTCTTTAACTATTTATTTGATTACTCATAGATATGATCTTTGTTTTCTCGATAATAAATAAATAAATGTTAAGGCAGAAAAAAATTCCTCGGACGAACTCGAAGGAATTTTCACGCGTCTGTATAACGTCGACTCGTCGGGATTATATCGGTTCCCGTCGCTGCTCAAAAGTACGATACTTTCGAGTGAAGTGTCGGATGGCACCAATACAATATTTGTCGCTCGGTTACCAACTCAGCGAAAGCGTCGGGTATCAATACAGCTCGGACAGCTTTACTCTCGTGACGAGCGCATTGTCGGCGCGCGCTTACGGTAATACGCTCAGGGCGAGGAATTCCTTCCCTCTTTCATCTCAGCGCATATTATTCTTTCCGCGTAATTTCCCCACGACAATGGCGACGCGAGTGTCCTCCGGCTAAAAATCACGTGGGTGGGTCGTCGGCGATCCCTCGAAACTCGATCGTTATATCGCGTAATCGAAGCGTCAAGGGTCTTCGGAAGGCCGCAGAAGCGTAAGAGCGAATGACTCTCGTCCCGCAACGCGATGCAACGAGGAACGCAAACTCCCGTAAACAAGGCCGCGCATAATCACCGTCCGCGCCTCTTACTCCGCGCTCATTTACTTGGCATATTCCACATTTCATAAGCAGCCTCCGTGACGACTACGCTCGCTCGCGGCCGATCGATTCATTTGCACGCGCCGCGCTACACACGGAATTCGCACGCGGATACGTCGCCGTGCGAGTAGCGATAAGAATCGCCGGAAGACGCTATACGCGAGAAACGTGCGATGTCTTTTAACGTGCATCTCCGATTGTTACTCGCGCGTGATTGTCAGATCGCATTTGGATTGCGGCATTCCTGTCAACTGCGCGGATTAAGGTCACGGACGGGAATTGATTTTAAGGCAGCTGTACGCGAGGCATCGCGCGCATAAATATTTTAAGCCGGAGAAATTTTTAAGCGAGAGTTTATTAAATATTATTACGTTAAATAATTAACGCGGGGAGATTTCTAGAAATAAGAGAAAATCGGACGCGATGCAAAAACGCCAGGCGGAACGGACTACGGTAGCATATATTTCATTTACATTTTTTCTTTTTTCTTTATACGGAAAGCAGCCAGGCATATGTAACAATTGATTAAAAAAACTCGCAGAACTGCGAAAAAATTGGACGCGACGTGGTGGATCTAAAAAAAAACCGGCTCTGGCGCAACACACCCGCGGTGCAAAAAGGTATGATTTCTTTTATTCGGCACGGTGAGAGGTGCACGAGACATCGTATCTCGGCGGGGCCGATCGAACATATATGATATTAACAGGCAATTTGGCTAATTACGTGTCTCGTTCTTACATACCCGCTGATGTAAGATGGTATGGATGTCGCGCGGCTGGATCTTCTGGAGTGCCGTCAATTTCTGCAGCCTCTCCCTTGCGTTCCTGCGAAAAGAGGAAAGACGTCCGCTTGAAAAGCCTGCCCGTCTCGCTTATCTTTGGGAAGTCGAACGAGATATCGAAACGAGTCACGGAAGTCAATCCTTATCGCGCGCGAAACTTTCGTGTTTTCATTCGTCGCTTCTCCACCTACCTCGACGAACGGGCGCGATACGACTGTGTTTGCAAATTGCTACCTGAAATCTTTCGTGAAATCTTATTCGCGACGGCGACAAGTGATTATCCGTTCTCATTAAATGTACTTTCACAGAAGTTAATCAGGCAATCCGAAGCAATTTAATGGGCGCAATTTTCTCAGATGAGTCGTACAATCGAACGGTTCAATCTTTCCACGATCGAGATAAATCGCGTCTCCGAGCGGATTAAATGTAAGAATAGATTTTTGCATCCGAGAAAAAAGGTAATAGAATATAAGTAACATGAATTGATAAAGTTAATTCCATCGTATTATTAATATCGCTGCTAATAGTAATATCGCCGTGTCCACAAAGGATAACGTCAACTGGATCGATATATTAGTAAAAGAATAAAAAGAGAAAAAAAAAGGAAGAAAAGATATCGCGGAGAGAGCGAATTCCCTGATTTGACGACACCTCATCACAAGCTGTCATTATCGGCTCGATTGGAACGCATGCTGCTTTCGAGCGATTCTCGTGACATTTAGATGACGCATTCTCTCGTTCGATCAAAAACACGTTCGCCCGCTGGACACCGCCGCCTTTTATGTGACGTTTAATCGATACACGATTCCGCCCCGACAGGAATGTATTTACCAGAAGCGGGGCACTAGATCTCGTCTCGCATGTATATATATATATACGGTGTGTACATTATGTCACGTATACACAACGTACGTTTATAACGTTGCGTTTCGAGATGTGCATCCGTCTTTCGCTTTACCAAGTATATAAGTAAGTTATATATCTCACCTTTCGACGGCGATAACCCAGGCGTCTCGTATCCGCCCACTCCCGTTCGGCCCGTCCAGCTCTTCTGTCGAGAATTCACGAAGAAATTAATTAGGCAAATTTATCGCGCATTTAACACGCGTCAAAGAAGCCATTACCGGGCCGTGGCTATAGTCAAATATAGCGGCGGCCGTGTAACGGGGGTAAATGGAAATAAGTGAAGCGCATCTCCGTCTCTCTTCCCTCTCGCGAGCCTGACAAATTCCCTTCGTTTCTCATTTACTTCGCGCGAGAAGCCACGTGTTTCCATTAATTTAATATCTCTCTTGCACACGGGCAATGCTTTCCTTTTACTCTTTTCCTTTTACTTTCGCGGGAGAAAACCACCGTTGCGGTAATTTTTATGCCCGTCCTCGGTAACCTGAGGTGTCCTGTCGTCTTTTTTCTTTTTTCTTTTTTTTTTTTAAGACCGTAGCGAAACTACCTTTACGCGACGACTGAATTCGCCGTATCGCGCGCGACGAAAAACTTTGTGCACGCGCGCATAAAGTTCACATTGTCCTCGTAAAGTTTTTGCCCATCGGTTATTTATATCATCCCTTAGCGGGGAATAACTACGAACCTGCCGCGTATCAACCCACTTTTCTATAAAAAAAGAAAAATCTAATCGATCGCCGGCTACCGTTCTTAGTGCAGGCCGCATCTTCGTCAGCTTCCTCGTCGTCGATGAATTTTATAGCGGACAGATCAAAATGCTTCGCCACGTCATTGGGCTCCAGCTCGTAATCCGAGGGCTCCGTGAATTTCGGGGGTGGATCGTCGACAATTGATTCGTCGACAACAATCGATCGGCTATCGTGACCCGAACGCGACGAGCAACCGCAAAAAATTAGCTTGCGAAAAAATTTCGACATGCTCATACTTTGTGTTGAATAAAAATTTTTTTACCGAACGTAAACTTTTGTGTTCCACTTATAACTCGAAAATTCCGACACTTTTTAACGAACTACACACTTATCTTTTTAATTGACATTGGACTGCATTGATTTTAAATCTATTTTTAATTACGTTCTATTTATAAAAGCGTGTAGTTTTATCATAAATATAACACACATCCTACGAAAGAAATATACATATACATATATGGATGTAAAACAACTCGAGAGAGGTGCTTATCTTTTAATGCAAATGATGTGTCTCACGTGTCTAATTTAATATTTCAAAAGTCATAATTTGCTCGCTATTTTGAGTGCGAAATTTCGTTTTTGTAACTCTATCTCGACCATTAAATTTGTTTCGCAATATTACTTCCACTTCTTTACTACATGAGTAATATTATTCTATTTTCTATTTTATTAATAATATAGGAGCAGCAAAGAAATGATAACAATATCGCATCTGCATGTAATGCATTGGCATTTCGAAAAGTCATAATTAGCAATCTAGCCAATTCATCGTTTACACTGGCTGCAATCGATTGGCCAACTCGTTAACAATATTCGGAAACTGATATCGGCACCATTCGAACACTGAATGAAAAGCTCGCGCCGAGACTACCGAAAGCTTCCATGAAAGAGGACGGTATTCGCGTGCACGTGTCACGAAACTAGAAAATAAACTCTCCGCCACAGCCGGCGACTGAGAATGGATAGCGTGAACGCATTCACGAAGGAGTTTATATTTGGAACTACACGCTCTGGCACAGACGATAAAAATTGACAGAGAGCGCCAGTTCAACGTACTTAAAACGGCAGGGCTACAAAGGCAGAATGTTTAAAGAATTTGCAAAACCCTAGCAAAGATCGCCGAAATTCTCTCTCGCGAAGATTGAAAGAACAAACGCGAAGGTCGATAGAATGTCGGGGCATTCTCTTAAATTCTTCAAATACGTATAGACCTTCTTGGAGGGATCGTATCATTCTTTTTGTTACCAGTTGATGTGATCCCCGACCTGGTTTTCTCGCAATCCGCTTTGGTGCGAACGACGAAGCTGATTAAATGTACGTCTGTCGGTTTTCATTCTGAAGAGACTTCAAGGCATTCTTTTCCGGCTATCGGGAATTTTTATGGACAAGAATTCAATTTCGTGTTTTTCCCCCGTTTCATGCTTTTTCGCATTTTAAATATTTTAGAAAGAAAATTGTTGATAAAAAAAAAACGGGTAAATTGATTCCTCAAATATCATTAAAATGGTTATCGTCTCTGTGAAGGATAATTAATATTTTCTTTTTCGATTGAGTCAATTAACAAAATTGGATTTCTCTCATAAAATTTACTCGTCCATTTTCCAATCGTTTCGACAGCTTTTGATATTTGCTTACGGTCCGTACACACGTTGTGCGTCAATATATCGCATATATGTGCCATGCACTTCGTCCATTGTCTTCCGAACGTATACATCCGACATAGTGTGCGCCAATTGCATATCACTGGAAACGCTCTAGGCCAAGTCTCGGTGAAGCTTTCCGTGTCACTCCCTGCATATATTCATTGCCTTAAAGTCTTTTGTGCTTCACCGAACGACAGAAGGAACGCGCTAGCGAAGAAAACTCGCAACAGTTACTGTTCTGGTTCCTTTTCAAAATGTTCTGGCTTGGCTCCAAAACGTATTCGGATATGGCACGGCAATTCGGAGAAAGTGTGTTTTCGTCTGGAAGCACACCCAGTTTTTCCCCGTTTTATTGTAAAACGGTTCTGACATTTTGTGACAAGTATGACTGTCACATGAATATGGACATGATGCACAATAGTTAAACTTTGATGAATTTATCTTGGAACAAAACGACAAATATTATTTACGGCGAATCAATATTTCGCAACAATTAACTAATATAATTATAAATAAATATTATTTAATTTGAATGTATGTATAACATAATATATATTGATCCAATTGTTTTTAGTAATGTTCACTAATACTGCACAAACGATATTTTATTTATTAAGTGAGTTCCGAAACGCACGTATTACTTTTATATTATAAAATTTAAGAACAATTATTATTATTAAGTTCATTTAGCTCGATTTAGACCGTTTATTTATTTAATTTGCATTACAATAAACGAGCGAAATTTATTAATTTGTTTATTAAATTTTTTAAATAATTTGGTAAATTAAAAAGTGCAACTTGAGATAATTTCTGTAATACAATATATAAAATATATAAACCACATAATCACAAATCATCAATTAATTTAATATCTCTATATACAATTATTATTTGTAATTTAATATTTTATTACGTGCAATTATAAATAGTAATTACACACAATATCACTATTAATTTATTAGTTCAAGTTAAATGTAATGGGATATACGTATTGGATGAATGTGCAAATGCTTCGTTAGCGGTAATTCCCGGCTTAGCGTAGCATGTATCGCCACCTTATTCTCATTCGTGTTTACAATGAATAAGACATTCGTATGAATATGGCAAACGGAATTCAGAATCAAATCGCAGTTAGCGTTAAATGCGAGGTACAATGGAGGCGCGAATGCAGGTCAAAGGCAATGAGAGATAGGGCTAAGGTAAATGAAGAGGCATTACGTTTGCAAATTCAGTGACGCGGTAAATTCGGGTCAAGCAATGCGTTGATATCAACGTTGTCTGGAGTAGTCTTCTCAAACGGTCTGGAGAAATCTACTTCGTCGGAACGGTAACTAGATGCTCGCGCATATGTTGTATATACATATATATATATATGTATACGGCACAGCAATCAACCACGTTACGTTAAGTAGGCTTTACCCGAGTACTTAAGCTGGACCGCTTTCCGAAAGGTACCGCGAGTTCAATAGTTGGACAGCGGTTAACTTGCGAATAATTAAAGCCGGTCAATCTCGTGCTAAAATACCGTGCTCAAAACCGTAATCGTATTCTCTATCCTGTCGAACAAATATACATGAAAATTAACGTATTCCGCTCAAAAATGCGAGATTCATGTATAAGAAAAAGGAAATCTTATTTTCGTCTTAATTTCATATATATAACATTTCGCACCTTGATGTTATCAAGATAAATAAAGACAGTATAGGTAAAGTTAGACTTTTCTCACACGCAAGTAATTATTAGAAACTTAGAGCCTTATTGACTAAAAATAATCATTTCTAAAATATAATAGGAAAACGGCTCTGACACTTTTTCATAAATTATAAAACAACATTTAAGAACTCTATATGTCATAGGTACGTATATATACGAGATACTATTTATATGTGAAGATAATACAATAAGAAACAACTGTACCAATGTGCGAAATGGCTTCGATCATATGAGTAGTACGGTTTGATGCAAGAAGAGGCGAAAACCAGTTTCCTAACTGTATAGGCTCTGCCACAGTCAGGTATATAGTATACATATATACAGACGAAGTCAAGCAATGGAGAAGCATATAGCTACCGAGATTTGGACATTTGATCTATGAAATAATACTTTGATCCTGTACACAATACGCCCGAATCAAACTATTGTCAATTTTTAATAAATAAGATAAAATTTTGAAAATAGATAATTCAAAGCTCTTTTTAAAGAAGACTTAAATATTATAATTGTTAATATAAATTAAACGCACTATATATATATATATAGAGAGAGAGAGAGAGAATAATTTTACAGTAAAAATTGTATTAGATTATTTTACGAATATATAGCGCAATTAACTTTCCATATTCAACGATCGAAAAATATTGCTTCGATTACAACGCGATTAGAAATTTTTAATCCTCTTTTAATACATAATTTAAATTAAAAATGTAAAAAGTACATACACTTTTATGCATCCTAGTAACTGGCAAACAAAATTTTAATTATGTCTGCATTTAAAATACGAGATCACTACATATATAGGTATGTATCACTTCTCTAATTACTGCAATCACTTTTAATCACAGATAACGAATAAATCAAGCGATGAGTACTTTGCTAACATTTCGAGGAAAATTGTGCACGTCGGAAATTTGCATATATGTATAAGAAGTAATTAGTCATCTCCTTTTTTCCCTCGTTGCTTTCTTGATAATCATTTCTGCATATACAGTCATGTTCATTTTTAATAGTATCGCTATTTTTACCTTCAATTTTTTTGT